TGGATGGCCGGTCTGAATCCAAACCGGAAGATCTAGGCCCAGTGTTACAAGCCATGGCTGGTTGACTTAGGCTGAGCCGGATGAAATTGAATCCGACGAAGACGGAGGTCCTGTCCCTGAGTCGGAGCAGTCCAAGGGTAGGGATCCCGCTCCCGACCTTTGACGGGGCGCCGCTCATGCCAGTGCCGGAGGTTAGGAGTCTGGGAGTGCTCCTGGATGCCTCCTTAACAATGGAGGCCCAGGTAGCAGCTACTGCCAGGTTGGCCTTTTACCACCTTTGGCTGATTGGGCAGTTGGTTCCCTTCCTTGAATGCAATGACCTGGCAACAGTGATCCATGTGATAGTCATCTCGAGATTGGATTACTGTAATGCCCTCTACATGGGGCTGCCCTTGTTGCAAATCTGGAAGCTGCAGCTGGTGCAAAACGCTGTGGCCAGGTTGTTGACGGGAATCCCAATTCAGGACCACATCCAACCTGTGCTAAAGACGTTGCACTGGCTGCCTATAGCGTACCGGGTCCGCTTCAAGGTGCTGGTTTTGATCTTTAAAGCCCTTTATATGGCCAGGGTCCTGCATACCTAAGGGACCACCTTTCCCCATATGTTCCCCAAAGGACACTGCGATCGGGGACCCAGAACTGGCTGCCCCCCCAAGCTTTAAGGAGGCCAGACTGGTGGCAACTAGGGCCAGGGCTTTTTTGGTGGTGGATGCACTCTGGTGGAATGAGCACCCGAAAGAGATTAGGGCCCTGCGGGACCTTTCACAGTTCCGCAAGGCCTGTAAGATGGAGCTCTTCTACCAGGTTTTTGGAGCCGCCACCACTAACATCTCCACCACCAACAATTAATATATACTCTTGTGGAGCCCTAGCCCATCGGTCCCTCAAAATCGGAGGAGTGGGGAATTAAACCCGGTTCTCCCAGATTAGAGTCCGCACACTTAACCACTACACCAAACTGGCTCTCAAGCTAGCAAAGGGATGAAGAAAAGGCTGCTGAAAAATTTCATTGTGCATGCAATGCTTCTTAGACATGTTGAGTGCTTAGAGTAAAAACTGGACTACCAGACGAGGTATAAATTCCTTTCATTATTTCCAGATCCCCAAAAATAAGAAACCCTGCCATAATCAGCAATGTAATGTTTGAAAAGTAAAATGGGGTTCCGTTTAATGTCATCCAAGTACAAAAAACCTAAACAAATCCACAACATTTCTGTTGGTTCATAAAGATTACACATCCCTTATAAGAAAATAACCCACAGATGTTATAAATATTAAAGATATGATGTTCAGTATGGTGGTGGAACTGTACTGTACTTTGGGTTTAATCTGTCAATCTGTCATGGAAGGCAGTAAAAGTCACAGCAGATCTTCCCCACTTTCCTTTTCCCCTCTCCAGGTCCTTTCCATTATGAGAAAGTTGATTCTTGGGTAGGGATGGGCACAAACAGGGGAAATAGTGGTTTGTCATGGTTCATGGTCCATTTGATTAGAGCAGTGGTTCCCAAACTTATTTGGCCTACCCCCCCTTTTCAGAAACAAAATTACTCAGCGCCCCCCAGGAAATCTACCTTCAAGAAGTGGACAAAAAGATGCAGTGACAAATTTGCACATAGTAAAGAAAGATGTTGTTGTAAATAAAACACTGAGATTTTTGGCAAGTAGATGTTGACAATGAATGACACAGTGTACAGTGAATACATTTGGAACCACTTTTTTTAAATATGCAAGAAACCCCCTGTAGCGCCCCATCATTGCTGGAGCACCATCAGTAGCAACTGACAATATATTACTCAGGGGAATTTCTTTTTCTTTAAAAAAACACTCTTCCAATGCATGAAATATCGATTCTCCTTTGGTATCAGTTTGCAAATGTTTAGCAAATAATAATTCTTGGCAAATTTTTCCTTCTTTTATGAATTGCACGTATGCTAAAAGCAAAGCTTCATTTCCTGGCAAAGTTGACTCATCAAGCTGTATAGAGAACTGGGATGTTTTTAAATACTCACATGATGAGTCTTCAACATCTTGAGCCATTTCATCAATTCTTCGTTGTACTGTATTATTGCTCAAAGAAATTTTCTTGGTAATATAAGATGCTGGCTTGTGTAGCATGGTGCATATTACCCACTTATAGCCGGTAGAATTAGTTCTTCACCAACAGAATGTGGTTTTCCTGATTTAGCAATCAGTAATGAAATGTTGTAAGAAGCACATAGCCCATCGTCATCTTGTTTGGATGCTATTGAAAAGAGTTTTGCCAATGTCGGCTGTCTCAAAAAGTTTTCTTTAAGTACTAGAAAATAAGATAAATCCTTATCTTTTTTATCAGCATGAAGTTTTGTCAAATGTTCTTGTAGTCTTGAAGGCTTCGTAGCTTCATTTGATAAAAGTTTTTGGCAAATCAGGCACACAGGTAATGTACTGCTTGTAGGCGACTGAATAAAGCCATAGTTCAAATATTGAACACTATATTGTCTACATTTTTTCTTAGGTTCAGCCATGATATTATCTGTAAAAAAGTAAAATTTCTGTGTTTATTTATAAAACCATTAATATTACTGGCAGCGGGCATGAATTATAGTTCTTCTCACCACTGGGGAATAACCCCCCCCCCACACGCACACACATGAATTGTTGGGAGAAAGCCAGCTTTGAAATACCTGGAAATCATTACTCTCTTGCACCCCCACACTAGGCGCAAGGCAGCTTACATAGTGCAATACAAAGAGCAATCCAATACCCCAATTTCTTTAATCTTGAAATCATTACTTATCAGTGGCAGAGCAGGAATTCAAACCCAGATCTCCCAGACCCTTGTCTGACACTTAAACACTGTACCCCACTGACCAGATGGCTGTCCCAAATAGAAAGAGAAGCTTCTCAAGAACTTCCACTTTATCTTCTGGCTTCCCAGCTGCAAAGTCCTGCTTCAAAGCATGCAGCCACGTCTCAGTGAATTGTCAGGCACTTGGTGCATCGTTCAGTTTACAGCGCACCTGTCATTGAGAGAGGAGGCTCCCTCCCTCCTTTTGAAATCTCTTGGGCTCGTCACCTTCATGATGCCAAATGACCTGGCTTCTCAAATGTCTGTGATCTTACTTCCTTGATATGTAAGGCTACATGCCTTTAGGGGAAGGGGAAAACTGACAGTTACTTCTGGTGGGCAAAATACTGGAGGGTGATTGGGTCTTGATCTTTAGTACTTTTACTTGAATCCCCTATATCTGTACCCTTCCCACATTTAGCTTCATTCCAAACAATAGATGTGTCTAGGATGGTCTCTATCAACTGTCTCAATAAAGTTAGCTTTCTACAACTGGCTGTCGTTGAGAACTGATTGAACCGGGAACCTGACAAGTCCAAGTGCAAGGGAGTCAGAATTTGCAACCCTTGGCTTTTCCCATTAAATGGACAGAGCCGGAACCGCACTGGAAGCGCGCCGAGTGCCAGAGAGGCCCGCTGAACTGCCACCAGCAAGATCACGGACAGAAGGAGAAAGAGGCCAGAAGAAGCCGAGCCGACGAGCCGTTCCAGGAAGATCAAATAACGTCCCTCCACTGGGTGCTGTTAGGATAGTCCCCACCCCAGCATATATGTGGCCATAGGTAAGGGATAACGGTTAACTGTAAGCCGCTCAGAGACCCTCTGGGGGGTTCGAGCGGGGTAGCAAGTTGAAAGTTAAATAAATAAAAAAATAAAATGTGCTCCATTTGCATAACTTCTGCAGACTACAAAGAATTTGGCATTCTTTGAGGCACACAGCAGTACAGTCTCAAGAAATATATTTAAAAACCAGCCAGAAAATTACAATATTTAAACTACAAGCAATAACAAAAGTTGAATCACAAAATTAAAAACATTGAGCAAAACCCCCACCACACCAACAAGCAATTACTACAGTTAATTTAAAAAAAAAACCATCCAACAGGAATACTTCTAAATGTAAACCAAACTTTTAAAACTTGCCCTAAAAATTATTAACTGTAAGAGAGTAAGGCTTAGCCAACCCCCACCCCACACCCAACAGAACCCTAACCCAAAGCCACCCCAAGCAGGCCGCCCAACCTAAAGTTGACAATTCTAATGTTGACTGACTAAAACTTTTCATATTCTTCTGGCTAGGACCCTGTGTAGTCTTTGAAAGTGTTTCTTCTTTTCTTTTTTGCCAGTTTCATTTGCTTCTGTCTGGATGTCCTAAAGGACTTAAACTGCCTGTCCTGAACCAGTCCTGAAAATTTTGACTGGCTATCTCATGGTTTATCAGGAATCACAATGCCTGTAATAGCATACACAAGAGGGGGAGAGAAGAGCTCCGTCTCGCGGGGGGGGGGGAGAGAAGAGCTCCTCTCCTCCACCCCCCCCGCTCAATCTCCCCGAGGCGGCGGTGGCGAGGCCGGTCTCCCCCCGTAAGGGGACCCGCGATACTCGTGGGGGGGAAGAGCTCCGTCTCCTCCACCCCCGCTCGATCTCCCCGAGGCGGCAGTGGCGAGGCCAGTCCTCCCCCTTGCCCGGCTCCAAGGCGGTGGCGGCAAGGCCGGTCCTCCCAAGTGCCCCCGGAGTGCGGATTTAGCGATCCGCACTCACGGGGGCAACTTGGCTATTAGTATATAGATTGGCAGCATATAGCTTGACTATATCCATCCCAAATGGTCAGTATCTTTAGACAGCAATCCTCTGGACATCTGGTCAGCTCAGTAGGCCTCACTCTGCCCTGTTAAAAATATGTTGTTTCTAGTTATTCCCTTCCCTGAAAGGATGCCTTTCTTAGGCTAGGGCTGGTCAGTGGCTGGCATGATCTACAGTGGAATGGCTCTCTTCTCCTTGTCCTAGCTGCATCTGGCCCTTCTGACAAGAGGGAAGTATGATTGAAAGAGGCATCTGTTGGCCTCCTGATAAAAATAGGAATCTGTAGTTACCCATCACAGTGAGAAGGGTGGGTGTATCAACAGAGTCGTAAACAATGAGAAAAGTGGTGTGGCCCAGTGGGGGGGGGGGAAGGCAGCCGGAGAAGGAGCCAGGAGAAGGAAGCTTAAGAAGGAGAGAGCGAGGTAGAGTGAAGGGAAGACACAGACCGTTCAGTAAGCGCTGCCTCCCTTCCGATGTCCCCTCTTTCACTGGCAGTCAGCAGTTGGGCCTGTTTGTGTACTTGTCTAGGTAAGTGCTTATTCCTCCGTCGTGCAGGGATGGCCACACTGTGGCTCCAGGCAGTTTAAGTGTAGTTTCTGGACAGTGAAGACAAATAGAGTTGGAAGAGAAGTCTTCACTCTTCCTGTATACTGGAGACACAACGTTCTCTTAGTCAAGTGGGGAGTGGGAGATGTTCAGGAGTGGAGGCACAGCCGGGATGTCTGTGTGGGTCTTACTCAGAAGCGGGGAGAGGAAGCTGTGTGGTGCTGCCTCGGGCTGGTTCCGCATTTGTGATCCAAAGGTTTGTGGCAGAAATTCAGCAGGTGAAGCAGGTGAAGGTGAATGATGGATTTCTGCCCATCCACCAATAATCAAGAGCATACAGCTCCTGCTTATTAAAGGTCTTGTTAGAAATGAAGCAAAGGAGAAGCAGTGAAAACTTGTGAGCCTCAGGAAAGACTTTGGTGCCTAGCTCAGGTTCAAATAGATTTATTTATTTGGATATTTATACACTACTTTTTCCCCTAATGGGAACCCCGTTGGCTTAAAATATCATTCTCCCCACCCCCATTTTACCCTCACAACAACAGCCCGGCGAAGTAGGCTAGAGTGAGTGACTCAGGGAGCGTCCACGGCAGAGGGTGAATCTGAAGCTGGGTCTCCCAGGTCCTAGCCTGGCACTTTAGCCACCACACCGTGCTGGAGAAGAGGGTGAATCTGAAGCTGGGTCCCCCAGGTCCTAGCCTGGCCCTCTGCTGGGGCCGTATTGGTGAGGAATCCTCAAGCGGCTGTCACAGCTGACTCGTGGCAACCCCAGCAAGGGGCTTTCAACGAAAGTGATTGAGCCATGGCCTTCCTCAGCAGAGTCTTCCTGGGCCGGCTCCCAAGTACCAACCCAGGTTAGCTCCGGAGACTGGGCTACACATACCATGACATGCTCCCCTCCCCCTCCACCCACGGTCAGAGTCTAAATACACACGCAACACATTTATTTATTTATTTATTAGTTTGATTTATATCCCACCCTCCCAAAGGCTCACATGCGGCTCAGGGCGGCTCACACACACCTGCCGGTCAAGGAAAGGCTCTTTTTCTTATGTCCGTATGTGTGGGAAAGTAAGTAAGGCACTTCCCAGAGTCTACCAAGCCATCCAAAGTAGACTTACATCCTTTCAAGCCCATTGACGTCAGTAGATTTGGAAGGATTTAACTCTGTTTAGGATTGCGCTGCTTGGTTGCTTTAACACTAGTTGTCTAATCTAGGGAAAAGGCAGGATTCTCAGTCACATAGATGCCGATTCATCTCTGAATGCCATTTCAAACAAAGAAAGTATGTTCCAGGCTTATGATTTAGGGAACCGTGGCACTGAATGTGTGCCCGCAGGAAATACGAGGCTAGGAGAACATAAAGGGGCCTTAAGTTGGGACTGAGCGGCATTGGAAAAACCGGAAGTAGGGAGAGGACAGAGCTGGTGTAGCAGAGACTGACTGAAAAGGCTGATGTTGATAAGGGGCCAAGTGATGTAACTCAAACACCTTTAGTGCCTTCAAACACCTAGCTTTATTGGACAAATAGCTCCTTCTTCTGTTCTAGTTAGCAACTCCTTGTCCCTTTGTTTTTTAGCTGCTACATAAGATCTTCTTTTTTGAAAGTGACAGAGCACTTTCTAGGATTTATCCCTGATGGGCCATTATAAGGAGGATGAAATACCAATGGCCAATAGAGGGCTGCTAAAAATGGGGTACTTTTGGCAAGTTCATGTAGGAAGAATGAAGGGCAGAAGCTGAGGCCGTCTTTGGCTCAAGGGTGCTGTGCAAACGAATCTCTCCTTGGCTATTGCAAATGTCGGGGGGTATTTTTAGCAGGTGACATGCCCGCTCACCTGCCCCTTCTTTTCCTACTTGCCTCCTGCACGTTTCATGTTTGAGTCACTGGCTGTTCCTGGCATTTGTCAGCAAGGATTATTTAAAAATTATTTACTAGGTAACAAGAAAGGAGGGGCCAGGGACTGGCCCTACTTCCCAGCCTTAAGGGATACATGTTCTGCTTCAGAGAAGACGCTACTTTAAATGGTTTTGAATGCAGTGCTCAGCATAGAGTCTCTTGATAGGGTTAGCCTTCTGTGAGGCTCTGCTCCTATCCAAAGAAGGTTGGATTAAAGTACGTGTTTGGGGACTCTACAATGAGCTGTATTTTGTGCCTCCACATATTCCAGAGTAATACACTTCTTGTTGTCTTTGCCAGTATTCAAACACACAGCTGGAAAAACTCAACAGCAGCCTCGCCTCCACAGGAGTCTCTTAAGCAAGAAGTTATCCAGCTTCTTAAACCTAATCTAAAATTCTCATGAATTCTAAATTTCCTTCCAGATGAACACTTTAGCACTGCTGTGGTATCTTGGGAAGGAACAGACACTCCATGGTCTGAGTGGCAGAAAAAACAACAGAATAAGGCCCTCAGTTTGATCCTACAGTATAATGTTGTACTAATGTATTTTAAAATCTTGGAATAAGTGCAAAGGTGTACTTATTTTTGTATAACTGGTCTAAGGACTGTAGAAATAAACTGAACTGATCCTACAGTAGCATTTATTAATATGGTTACACCATAGAGCCAGTAGAGGGCAGTAAAGATCCCTGTTATTTTTTCCCCTTAAGAAACAAGCCCATTTTTAGGATCCTACTTTGTGGCATCTTAATGATTAACAAATATTTAGTCTACCATAAACTTTTCTGTATTAGACCCCCCCCCCTTTGTCAGATGCATGCAGTAGGTCCTTAGTAGGAATACACACACACACACACACACACACACACACACACTTGGGGGGACCCAGAAGGACTTGTTGGGGGCATTGCATTTTCCCTTCTCCGTTTCTTCCCTGAAAGCCCCCATAGCCTCTCCCTGTTTCTTGCTTCCTTTTGAGCTTCCCATCCATGAGCCAACCTACCTTTATCTGCCCCTCTGTCTTTAGGTTTTCCTCCTTCCCTCCCCTGGCAGCCTTTCCCTGGGATAACTCTGGGCAATTTGGGCCGCCACTGGCTAGGGTTCACCTCCCTTTCCCCATATCCTCCTTCGAACACTTATTTCCTCTTTTCCTCCTTCTGGCAGCCCCCATATCCTCACCTTTCTCTGCTTCTTTCTCTCCTTCCTGCTCACCAGCCTTCCTTTTATTTGCACCCCATTTTCAGCTACATCTATTTATTTGCTTCATTTATACCCCTCCTTCCTCCACAATGGAGACCCAAAACAGCTTACATCATTATCCTCTGTTCCATTTTATCCTCACAACAACCCTGTGAGGTAGGGTAGACTGAAAGTGTATAAGAACATAAGAGAAGCCGTGTTGGATAAGGTCAATGCTGATCCAGTCCAACACTCTGTGTTGCACAGTGACCAAAATCCATGTGCCATCAGGAGGCCCGCCAGTATAATATAAAACAAAATACATTGGAGGGGGTTAACCCCCTCAAAATATAGACACACCTGTACCTTTAAGTAACAAAGGCAACCACAAAAGTATCACCAGCCTTCAAGCCTTGGTTTCTGTCAGTGAAAGGCAAGGAGAGGGAGCAGGGTCCCCCTCAGGCCTGTACTGGCCTTTGAGGGAAGAAGCCAGGAAAGCTGTGAGCTAGTGTGGGATAGTTAGTTAGACCGCCAGACTAGGATCTGGGAGACCCAGGGCTGAATGCCTCTTCTGGCACGGAAGCTCACTGGGTGACTTTGGGTCAGTTCGTTAATGACTTGGAGTTGGGAGTAAGCAGTGAAATCGCTAAGTTTGTGGATGACTCTAAGTTGTTCAGGGTGGTGAGAACCAGGGAGGACTGTGAGGCACTGCAGAGGGATCTGTCAAGGACGGGCGAGTAGATGTCAACATGGCAAATGAGGTTCAACATGGGCAAGTGCAAAGTGGGTTTTCAGGTATGCTTATGAGTCCCTCATGGAACCCTTGGTGAAATTCAAGGAGGAACCCCATCTTTTAAAAGCTCATGGATCAGTTCATACATGCATATACATCTTTTGATGGCTTTCATGTGTGAACAGCATCACATATCTAACACCACATCTAAATCTTTATCACATCAAATACACAATACTTTTCGGTTTATTCTTACAGCCATCTGTGTTGCCAAGTGTGCAATAATTGTACAGAGAAATAAAGTGTTACACACGAATCTGGCAGCAATTGCATGAAAGACTGGAGGCTTTTAACAATCTGATTTCCACCTTTTATTCCTTGCACCGTATATTTCAGAACTGGAGCTGCAAGTGGCCGCCTGCTTCATCTTCCACTGAAACAGTAGAGGAACGTGGCATTATGGAAGCTGAAGGCATCAAGGAGCAGGAGGAAGTCCACGGCAGCCATGGCGCAGGGCAGCCGGATGACTTAGAGTTTGGGGGAGAGAGTGAGGCAGGGAAAGCAGAGGCTGCTGCTGGGAGTGAGGCTGCAGGAGGGGCAAGGGAGGCAGAGCCTGCAGGAAACGTAGCTCAGGGAGAGGGTGAGGCTGGGAAAGCTGAGGCTGCTGCTGGGAGTGATGCCAAGAGAGAAAATCAGCCAGCAGAAAAAGCTTTGGGTGATGAGGAGGTACAGGAACCTGGAATTACAGAGAAAGTGAAGGGAGAAGGAGAAACAACGAGCCAAGGCCAGGCAGAGATGGAAGATAAGGTGGCCGTATCTGGAACAGAGCCCGAGGAAGAAGCTTATGGAAACCAAGAAGAAGTTCAGGAGAAAGAAGAAAAATCTGGTGACTTGGAAAATAATTCCAGCATGCCTCGCATTGAGGTGGGGACTTTGTGTTTTCCCAGTTAGGTGTACTGGTTAAGTGCACAGACTCTAATCTGGGAGAGCCGGGTTTGATTCCCCCACTCCTCCACTTGCAGCTGCTGGATGACCTTGGGCAAGCCATAGTTCTGTCAGAGCTGTTCTCTCAAGGACTGCTCTGGAAAGAGCTCTCTCAGCCCCACCTGCCTCCCAGGGTGTCTGTTGTGGGGAGGGGAAGGGAAAGGCGCTTGTAAGCCCCTCTGAGACTCCGAGTAAAGGGCAGGGTATAAATCCAATCTCTGCTCTTCTCCTCCCCTTCTGGTTAGAATCAGAATACCCACTTCCATTTCTTTTCCCTGAGTGCCATCCTTTAATGCTTCCCATGCCCATTGCCTGTGCCTTTGTTTCAGACTTGTCCAGGATACAGAACTCTCTTTTCATCTATAGGCAGGCAGGCAGAACATTTCTACATATACCTCAGTTACATGAACCTTGTTCCCTGATTTATCTCACACACTTCGCTTATACATGCCTTTATTTTCCTGCATTGTACACAAAAGCGCGCACACACACCTTCAGGGCTCCCTGCCTTAGCGTGGCCCTCCGAGCCAGAGAGCGGGATGGGAATGCTGCAAGAGGGAGCCTCTTCCCGGACAGCTCTGTACACATAAACAACTCCTATTCCTGTCTCCTTCACTCGTAAGTAGTTCCTTTGCAAGCACGTGAACAGTGCCTGCCTGTGTATCATAAGAACTCAGAGACCAGGACCCGAATTGTTTCTGGGAGACTTTGAGACTTCAGGTCAGAGCACAGACATGCTCTGGAAACCACTGGGGTAAACAGTCCAAGACTTAACGCTACTCCCCACAACGTATGGACACAATTAACATGGCTTGGTCCTTTCCGTCTCCACGTGCACAGGGCCGAACAGGCAGCACTTCAGATGAACCTCTTTCACCGGAGCCAGGTGAGGAAGAAGAGCACTGGCCAGAAGTCTCTGCAAGCTCTCCTGATGAGGGCCCAGAAAGCCCCACGGGATTCAAAAGCTTGGAGGAAGGTGAGGAGAATGTGAACCAGCACCTAGAGAATGTAATCGTTGGTAGCACAAATTACATGAACTTATAGTCAGAGGAGCTGATATTCTTGACTGATTACAAGGACTGTCAGCTAGTGGCATCTGGCAAATAGCACTGCATCTTGAGGATATCGGCTTTCATTGTCCCAAAAGAGAAAAGAAAGCTCCTTCTTACTCTGGAACTAAAAACATGTGAGTGATGCCTTCAAAATGCTCTATCCAGAGTTCAGAAGGCAGGGCTCCTTCATGTTCCTCCCAGCAGAACTTCCTCGAGGCCTTCACCCACATCTCTCTAAAGGAAGTTCCGCTGAGGGAGACAAGGGCCTTGCCATGTCTAAGAACATCAGGACAGATGTCATTTCTTACTTAGATGGCTTCCATACTAGTTTAAGGTCTGGAAGATTTATTTATGTTATTTATAATCACTGCCACTATGGGCAGACTACACAGGATTAATCAGTACAACTGACAGGATGAGACATTTGATAAACAATGGAACAGAATCTGGGTTCTAGAACCAACCAGGAAACTAACAAACAGAACTGAAGCAAAACTTAAGTGCTGACATGACACATTAAATGATGCAAAATTACATAACAGGATCAAATTTACAAACAAACATAGAAGAATATTTTATTATTCAGTTCTTGAATTAAATTTCTAGCCCGCCCTTCCCTGCAATGCAGGGCTCAGGGCGGGTTGCAACAATAGATATATACAATAAATTTAAAACAATTAAAACATAATCTATACAATATTAAAAACCTATAATATCAGATAATACAAGGTGGCAGTCAGACACAAGTAAACCTTCAGCCGGTGGTGTGTCCACAGATGGAACCACGAGGCTGGGCAAGTGGCAGAAAGCAGCACCAAGGCTGGGGAGGGGAGGCCAGTAGGGTTGGCGCTCTGCTGCCTCGGCCGTAGGCCTGGCAGAACATCTCCCTTTTGCAGGCCCTGCAGAATTGCAGCGAGTCCCGCAGCAGGGCCCTGGCCTCACTCGGGAGAGTGTCCCACCAGTCCAGAGCCAATAAGGTGTTGATCTATGGAGCGTAAAACTCTTTGGGGACATAGAGGGAAAGATATGTTGGTCCCAGACTGCACGGGGCTTTGAAGGTTAATTCCATAACCTTGAACTTGATCCGGTACTCAACTGGCAGCCAATGCAGCTGGTGGAGCACCGGTTGTATGTGGGCTCTTAAAGGTGTCCCATTGAGGACACGCACTGCTGCATTTTGGACCAGCTGAAGCTTCTGGGTCAATCTCAAGGGCAGCCCCATGTAGAGTGAGTTACAGTAGTCCAGTCTGGAGGTGACTATTGCATGGATCACTGTGGCTAAATCACAGGGAGAGAGACAGGGAACCAGTTGCCTGACCTGCTGAGGATGGCAAAATGCTTGTCTGGCAACATTTGTGATTCGGGCCTCCATTGAAAGCGAGGCGTCCAAAATCACACTCAAACTCCTCACCATTGGCGTTGGTGTCAGTAACGCCCCCTCAAGGGTTCGGAGCTGGATTCCCAACCCCATCACCCTGTGGCCCAGACACAGCACCCAGTCCCCAGTAATTTGTCCAAGTAACTTTATAAATCATTTTGTACAGTGCTACCCTACTGCCTGCATAGAAAAGCCGAATAATCCAATTTTTCATAGTTTGCAGAAATCCAGGAGAGGCAGGCCATCCCACAAGGTGGGGGCCACAACACACAAGTCACATGTGCAGGCAGCTGTTGATTTCCCCCATTTGCAGACTGGCAACTGCTGCAGAAGGCCCCGTTCAGATAAGCAAGGTAGTGGGGGGGGGGGAGGCTTGCAGGCAGGAGGGTCCAAGGCCATGAAGGGCTTTGCATAACATCCATCCAGTATTTACAGAGGATCTGTAACATTGTTGCATTCCAGCATTTTTATGTTGTTTCCCCATATTTTTTCCTGCTTTGTGACAACTTATTTCACATAAAACTTAAGGGGTTTGTACTAGCCTGTCTATTGTGCCACTGAGGTCTCCCTTAACATTTGCTTCCTGTTTTAAAGTAGTTTCAGGTTTTCAGAGTGGTTTAAATAGTTCCTGTTCACTTGTATGAATTTTCTGAATGGATTCTTAATCAGGTTTAGGGGAGGGGGAGGAGTGATCCCTGGTTTTCTCTTTGCAGCACAATAAATTACTTTTATTTTAGCAGCACAATTATGAAATTATAGTCATGGAAAATTAAACATTACTTTGTGCGCAAAGGGAAAACAATTATTTAAAAACCTCCAGGAAAAGAAATTAAGGGTCCATCCAGGAATCCCATGGCTGTCGTGAACTGATTGGTAGTGATGGGAAGTGCCATCAAGTTGCAACAGATTTATGGCAAACCTGTGAGGTTTTCAAGGCAAGAGACTAACAGTGCTGGTTGGCCATGTGGCCTGCCTCTCTGTAGCAACCCTGGGACTTCCTGGGTCTTCTATCCAAGTACAAACTGGGGTTGATCCTGCCTAGCTTCCAAGATCTGAGGAGATTGGGCCAGCCTGGGCTACCAAGAGCAGGGCATTAATTAATTAATTAATATTGCTTAATTAAGCACCGGAGGCAGAACTACTCCCAGCTACATGATGAAACGAACAAGGGTAATAAAATTTAAAGGGACAACTGCAGAGTAAACTAGGATTTTTGCTGAGTAAGGCTTGATTTACTTCCAGGTAAACATAATAAGATCTTGCCCAGCAGGATGGGCACTGCCAGATTTTTATGGGAAATACAGTGCTATATAGTAAGTGCTCTGTTTCAACAGCTGATTGGAGAAAATGAACTTTTCAGCTACACAAGAGTGTGGAAAGCAGCCTTAATTTCAGTGTAAGACATTTTAATCATACACCTTTATGCAATTTCCTCTAGATGGCACCATTTCAAACACAACAGCTGCAGAAACTGCTACGGGGCAAACTACCAGGTGAGTCTCTGGGAAGAACTGGCACGGGGGACAGGAGGGAGGCACAGACAATGCAAAACTCAGTAGTGATTGTGGTGATTAAAAATATGGGGAGTAACTGGCTACCTGATTCCTTCGAGTTTCAGGCTGAGAGTTTATACCAGTAACAAGCCCCAAAGTATTACCTAGTAACAAAGGTTTCGAGCTACATAATAACGAGTTTATTTAAATTGTTTCAGTTTAAAATGTAAAACTTTCCGTGCAACTAAGAAAAACAAATGCACAAACAAAGCTCACTGTTGACCTGGGCACAAATGAACAGGTTGGAAACAGGAATGCAGTGCTGAGCTCTTTGAAAAGAAATCACCTGCAACAGTAGAGTATTAGCACAATGATACCTGGGACTGGCCGGCCACTGAAACGATAGGGGGGTATGTTTTCTGGAAGTGGTCAGGAAGGGACTTCCACCTTTCTTGCCAATCCTATCTCTGCCTCTGCTCGTTGCATTTTGGGAGTCACTCTGTGTTAAGATTGCCCTCCTTGTCACCCTTTGCCAATCCTTGCTTCTGATTCGCTTTGGGTTCCCAGCACTGAAGCGGCCTCTGTGGGGGTTCAAGAGCAGCACCCTGCAGCCGAGGGGGCAGCCACTGCCAAGGAGAAAAAGATGAGGCCTGCATTCGACCAACGGGCACTAACCCGGCCACGTATGCCGCCCAGAGCTCAGTCCCGCAAAGCCATCGTGGAGAAGTTTGGAGGGTGAGCCTGTGTCTGCACTGCAGCATGGCGCGTCTGTTGCTTCCATATGAGCCTCTCACAGTCTTTGTGGTGTGCGCACGCGCAAGCTTCCTTCCCTCGTGATAACTGTGCACTTTTAGGGGCAGACTTAACAGCTGAATTCCATGTTCATGGAAGTAAAGCTCCTAAATTCAGTGAGACTTGCCCCAAATAAGGTGCACGGGACAATAATCTTTATTTTATTATGGCAGAAGCTTTCATGAGCCAGAGCCCACTTCGTCAGATGCTATTAGTGTGTGTGGTCTGGACATCATATGTACAGAGAAGTGTCCACAGGAGTGGACTTCCTTTTCCCTCTGGTCCCAGCTTCACACTAACATGACCTGAGTGTAAGGAAGAGAACCTTCTGTCACCTCTCACTGCAAAGAGCTACTGGGTCAGACTCTAACACCCATTTTAAAAGAATGAGCAAAGACCACTACAAGAGGTGATCAAGAGATCTTTGACAAAGGGCTTCCGGTTTTGGTGTCTGCAATGGTGGCCATGGTCTCCCGAAGCTGCGGGAGCCGTGTGCCAGTGCCTGCAGCTGGGGGGGGGGAATGTCTGCACCACCCCTGGAGCTCGTGCGAAGGGCTCCCAGCCATGGGGTGCTAGAAGAGCTCTTTCTCTGGCGACTGGCCGGCGAAGGGGGCTCCTTCATGCCCTGAAGGTCCCACCGCGGTGCATCCGAGAAGGAACTAAGAACGCACACCGGGACAAACGTTTGGTGGCCGAGCGCATTGTGATCGAGAAAAGCAAGTTTTACAATGAAAAGTGAGTGTTGGTTTAAGCGAAGGCACCAAAATTCAAGCGGAAAATCCCCCTTAAACAAACCGAGGGGGAGGGACCCTCTCTTGGAAGAAATAAACATGGACTTTGCAAAGAGAAATCTGAAGGGGGATCAAGCATAAAGCAGTTGCAGGCTAATATAAAGAACTTTTGAGAAATTACCAGGCGTTTCCAAAGGTTTCTGAGACTTTTGTAACTTTTTTTTAAAAGGGAGGAAGGGAGGAAAAAGATAATCCATCAAAACTGAGGCTTCCTCCCGGAAATGCCAGCCCAGCGAGTTCTGTGTCTAGACAGGACAGCAATGCAAACTTGCAGACAATGCTGGCTGAGGCTTTGCGCCCTCTGCTGGAGCAAATGACATCATTACATGCCAAACCCGATGTCCAGCAAAGTCAGTTGAATGAGACTGCTAGAAAAACAGAGAAAGTAGAACAAGACCTGAAACAAGTCAATGCCAACACTCAGAAACTTAAAAAGGAAATACAGGTCATGACAAAAAAGAGAGTATCTGATAAAACTGAGTTATTACTGCTGCAAATGGAACAAGCAAGCTATGTCTTAAGGTTTCAGGGTGCCCCAGAAGCTAAGGGTGGAAACCTGAAGCAGATCATCTGTGATTTATTGGGCCCGGTGGCAGATTTAAAAGCGGAGTTTCTACAAAGCGAAATAGATACGATTTATAGATCGTATTCTGAATTTACAAGGAAGAATAATCTGCCCGGTGAGAATGTGGTGAGATTCTCCAGGAGACAAGTTCGGGATAAAATTCTAAAAGCAACAAATGGAGCTACCCTGAAGATTAAAGACAAAGAGATAAAAGTTTTGAAGGACATTCCATTTGAAATAAGAAAGAAGAGAAAGAAATACAGAGACTTGGCATTGTTCTTACAGAAAAATAATGTCACCTTCCGATGGACTTTCCCCGAATGCGTCCTCTTTAAATTCAAATATAAGAAAGAAAAAATTGACTCTGTTGAAAAGGCACGTGAATTCTACAACGACAGACTGGTCCAGCAGACCAAGAAGATAAAGACAACGGCAGCAGCAAGGGAAGTGAAGAAGAAGAAGGCTTGGCATCTTCTGATGAGGACTCAGCTTCTGAACTGGGGGCCGTGGCCCCCAAAAGAGGTTACCGGTTTAGAAACAAAAAGAACAAAAAATGAAAGCGTTATAACTGTTTTTCAGAGCCTGTTTTAATTGAAGTTTAATTGTATCTCAATAGAGATCTTTATAGCCAGTTTTATTGGAATCCTGATATAAGCAATAAGAAAAAGGTACTCACTTAATGTAGCTATGTTAAAGCGTATACACCTATAAGCTAATACTGTAAACATTTGGAATGACCACCATCTCTTGGGTTTTTAGGGGTTTTGCTTTACTTTCTCCCTTAGTATGTAGTTACCTTCCCTTGTTTCTTTGTAGTTCATAGAAAACGCAATTTTAAAAATCCCCTAAAAAAAAAAAAGAGAGATCTTTGACAAAGGCTCCTTATGCAAGTTTGAAAGAAGCACTGAGAACATGAGCACGCTCAAATCAGGCATAGCTTTGTTAAGGAGAATACACCCAAGAAGTTGTGATAAAATGAGGCTTGCAGTGGTACCAAATACTTGGGTGTCCATGTTAAGACGCTTGTATTACATAAAAATACACAAACACACACACAGAGTGAAACAACATGTATCACTTAAGAAGGAGAAGGTATGAGGCCAAAAGAAGTAGGGCAAAGAGTGAAGCAGGGGGCTTATCACGACCTAACACTGCAGGCTCCAGGCACAGATACATATCTTCACTCAGGGGTCACAAACATCTGCACAGCCAATAATCTAAAAGAGAAATCCAAAAGGGGAAGTGCAGCAAGGCTAAACATTGCCTTGGGACCCTTGTATGTTTGGGTCCAAAGCAATAACACAGGCAACAATCCAAGTAGAGATCCAGAGGGAAAGAAAACCATGGAAGCACACTGCATATGGACTAACAACAGGCAAGTTTTGTACCACCCCAGAAACACACTTCGGCATAGATTATAGCCTCAGTGATAGGGCTTGGAGTTTGAAGCCCGCCTCCCCCTCCCCCGTTCTCAAAGAAGGGGGAGAGGAGTCCAAAATGATACGTTCCCTGACTGTCCAAATGTGAGAACGAGGCAGTTTCTGTATCCTGGGAACATTTCCAAATGAGAGAGAGAGTGGAATTCTCAGGATAGGGGAGGTATATTGGAGGCAGTATTAATTACCTCATTAAACTGGGATTTTGGAGGAGATTCCAGCTGATCAGTGTGAATGGAAAACCTTTAGCCAAAAATGTTAATGTGGATCTAGTTCTCTTAGCAGGGATTTCAGTGCAGTCGGATAATTACTGAGAAGTCCTGATTGATGGTCTGGGGCTAGACGAAGGGAGAGGGGCTGTTTTCCTCTGAGGCTGCCACTGTTGCCAGTAAGCATGATTAGAGCCCTGTGAGGTGATGACCATCAGCTACTGATCTGCCTGCTTGCCGACATGGGAGTTCAGGGGCCTGCCTTGCAATGGCTCGCCTCCTTCCTCCAAAGTCGGGGACAAAGGGTGGCACTCGGGGAACAGCTATGCCAAAGGCACCCACTGGATTGTGTAGTGCCCCAAGGGACAGTGCTGTCCCCGATGCCCTTTCTTTCTTTCTTTCTTTCTTTCTTTCTTTCTTTCTTTCTTTCTTTCTTTCTTTCTTTCTTACAATCCTAGATCAGTCACGATTGGCACTCATAGCTATCAGCATGCTCTTCAATATCTATATGCACCCCCTTGCCCAGATGGCCCGGAGGCATGGCCTGGGATGTCACCAGTACACAGATGTTGGGTGGCCAGTCTGACTCTGAACCAGAAGATCTGGACCGGGCATTACAAGCCGTGGCTGGTTGGCTTAGGCTGAGCCAACTGAAATTGAATCCGACAAAGATGGAGGTCCTGTGCCTGAGTTGGGGCAGCCTGGGGGTAGGGATCCTGCTCCCAACCTTCAGTGGGGCACCATTGGAGACATGAACCTTTATAGCTCTGCCAGAGCCAACCTGAAAAGAGGTATCCGACAGGCTAAGCTGGGCTATAGGCAGAGGATTGAGGATAAATTCAATACGAATGACATGCAGCAGGTGTGGCAGGGGATTCAGAATATTACCAATTATAAACCAACCGTTGCTGCTGTGGATGGAGACCCTTCATTGGCGGAGGAGCTTAATCTCTTCTTTGCCCGTTTTGATGTGGAGCCGAAGGGGACAGCCATACTACAGCCATCTGTCCATGGCGGCCCCTCCCTCAGGGTAGAAGAGCATGAGGTGAGGCGTACGCTGAGGGCTGTAAATCCGAGGAAAGCGGCTGGACCTGATGGCATTACGGGATGGGTGTTGAAAGAGGGGGATGACGCCCACCCCAGTAACACCATCATCAAGTTTGCTGATGACACCACTGTGGTGGGGCTCATCTCTGGGAATGATGAGTCTGCTTATCGGGATGAGGTGGAACGGCTTTGTGTTTGGTGCAGGGAAAATAATTTGATCCTCAACACCACCAAAACTAAGGAATTGGTAGTGGACTATAGGAGGAACAAAATGGACATTCAGCCACTGTTTATTGGTGGAGAACGTGTGAAGAGGGTGGCTACTTTTAAGTTTTTGGGAGTGATTATTGAGCAGAACTTGACTTGGAGCACTAACACCACTGCTCTGGTGAAGAAGGCCCAGCAGAGGCTTTTTTTTTCTCAGACTTTTTTAAAAAAATAACTTGAGTGAGAAAATACTGATGTCTTTCTATCGCTGCTCAATAGAGAGCATTTTAACATACTGTGTTTGTGTCTGGTTTGCCAGTTGTACGGCCAGGGCTCTCTCAGGGGTGGCTCCGTTCTGGTGGAACAAGCTCCCAGAAGAGATCAGGGCCCTGCGGGACCTTATACAGTTCTGCAGGGCCTATAACACGGAGCTCGTCCACTAGGCCTTCAATTAAGGAGCTGCCTTTAGCAGCTGAAGATAGAGAGCCCTGCCCCCCCCCCCCCCGGAGCCACCGATAATGGCAGCCTGTGCCAGCCGCCTCAAGGAAAAACCTACGAGCTGACTGTGAGAAGGGACCCCTGAATAACAGCTGCCATCATTAAACAATGTAATGATTACTAACACTTTACTATATCAGATGGTTTTAGTTGGTTTTAAAACTGTTTTAATTGTTTGATTCTGTGTAAGCTGCCCTGAGCCAGCTTTGGCTGGGAGGGCAGAGTATAAATCTTGTAGATAAATAAATAAATAAATAAATAAATAAATAACCAGACTCCACTGCTCAGAGGGAGCCCGGAGGATGACTGATCCTGCTTTTTTTTCCTATTGGCCTCCGACCTTTGTTTCGGTGATGGGCCAAAATTCATTTTCTGGGTCCTGCGTGATACTGTCAGGTTCCCAGTCAAACCGCTCTCCACACACACTTTAATGTCTTATTTGGAGATAGGAGATGCCATGGGGGTTCGAACGCTTTGTCAGGACTACAACAGTCACAGTTGGTCAAATGCCCAAGTCTGACAGATGCGTGGCAGAGCTGCTTCCAGAGCCAACATGAAGGTGGGCAGAGAAAAGGCAACAAGAATGGAGTCTTAGAGTGACAACAATACATAGAATTCAGCTCTGGCCATGAAAACTTTTGCCACAGTAAAGCATCATAAGACTATTTACTGCTTTGGCTGCAACAAGCTAACATGACTACCCCTCTGGAATTGTTTTGTTTCATTAATCAGACTACATCTGTGCACAGACATGTGTGTCTCCCTTCCAGATTCTGTTAGTTTTGGAGGGATATGCGGTCTAAATGTACTGGTGAGTGAAAAGGTGCCTTTGTTAAGGATTTTATATATAGACTGATGTCTGTTAAATTACCTTTAACACACATCAGTCTATTTATACAATCCTTAACAAGGTCTCTTGTAAAGACTGGTGAACGGGTGGCAATCAGGCGAGATAAACAGGTCCAGGTCCCAACCAGACAGAACTGTTTCCACACTGCTGGCCATTATAGATGGATAAGTGAGTCAAATACAGTGATAGAGGCCGCGGTCACACGGACCTCTTACCACGCTAGTTTTCCCGCAGTTCTTCTATCCGCGACATTTTATATCGCTTGGAGGTGGTCAGACGGTCCCTCTGTCTTCTGCTTCACTCGCGCAAGATACTGATCACACAGAGCGCTGTCCCCACGGTGGCGCGGTTTTTTTAAAAAAACAACCCTGCGCATGTGCTTGGGCGTACATACAACTAAAAAGACCAAAATAAAAGCTAGCGCCTGTTTGCACAAGCGCATAACTTAAACTGGAAACACAAAAGGGGGGGACGGTAGCGCGGTCACGGCAAATTGCTGTCCAGATGCCAAAACCGTGGATACAAAGCGTGAGATATCGGAAAACACCTGTTCCAACGGGTGTCAGAAAACGCGGATAAAAAGAGCGAAAACCGCGGGACTCAGCCCGCTTCGGTGCAGGAGGCGGGTTTGCCAATATGAACAGGAAACTTTAATGCGCGAGGGATCAGCAGTGAAGCCCGCACTAAATGTCCGTGTGACCTGACCCTTAGAATTTGTGGATGATATTCAGAGAAATATGCCTTATTTCTTCATTTTTGTTAGCTATCAACCTCATCCTTTCGTTTGATCTGCCCATATCCTTCTCTTTCTCATCATTTCCTTCAACAATCCCCAATTTTTCCCTCCAAAAGGGCTGCAAGTGGTCCTGCTCCCAATGTCAGGAGGATGGGAGGTGCAAACAGTGTGAAGAGCATGTTGCTGGAGTGGTGCAGGGCCAAGACCCGTGGCTATGAGGTAAAAAGACAGTTGCTTTTCAGGCTTTCTGCAAACCCCATTTAAAGGACAGAGGTCCCTTTCAACAGGGTTTGCAGAAAGCCTGCCATGCGATGTGACTGTGAAGAAAGCTAATGCACTCTTAGAATGCATTAACAGAAGCATTGTGGCCAGATCACGGGAGGTGGTAGTTCCACTCTATTCTGCTATGGACAGGCCTCACCTGGAGTCCTGTGTCCAGTTTTGGGCACCACATTTTAGGAAGGATGCTGACAAGCTCGAGTGTGTCCAGAAGAGGGCAACCAGGATGGTGAGAGGGTTGGAATCCAAGTCTTACGAGGAAAGGCTGAAAGAGAAGGCTTAGAGGGGACATGGTTGCAGTTTTCAAGTATTTGAAGGGCTGTCATGTAGAAGATGGAGCAGATCTATTCTCTCTTGCGCCGGATTGCAAGACTAGATCTAATGGGTGAAAATTACAAGGGAGTCGTTACCGGCTAAATATCAGGAGAAACTTCCTAACTGTAAGAGTGGTTGAGCAGTGCAGCAGTCTGCCTCAGGAGGTGGTGGATGCTACTTCGCTGAACGTTTTCAAGTGGAGGCTGGACGACCGTCTTTCGGGTATGTTGTAGGGCTATCTTTCAGCTCTGCTCCTGCAGAGTGCAGTGGGTTGGACTAGATGACCTGCAAGGTCCCTTCCAACTCTAACTTTCTATGATTCTATATGCAGTACCCTGAACTGCTTGGAGAAATGGTGGGATGCAACCTTGATATACAATAGTAATGATGATGCAGTAAGAAATGCTTGTTGCAGCTGAGAGAGAAAGCATGAGGGCCAGAAGCAACTGAACCCTTCCCCATTAACCTTTCTTTTTCTCATTCCCAGCATGTAGATGTCCAAAACTTTTCCTCCAGCTGGAGCAGCGGCATGGCCTTTTGCGCCCTCATCCACAAATTCTTCCCGGACACTTTTGACTACTCCACTCTTGACCCAACAAAGCGCAGAGAAAACTTTGCCCTGGCCTTCTCTACTGCCGAGTGAGCGCTCCGCACACCCCAAGACCCTGGGAGAGCACAATAGTTGGGACAGGTTGGGTTGGGTGGGTGATTATCCACACTCCGTATCGCACCCTGGCTAAACTGGTGCTTGCTGCAGTAAGCACATAAAATATGGAAGGGCAGACTCAGCATGGGTTCTGTAAGGGAAGATCTTGTCTCACTAACCTGTTAATGTTCTTTGAGGGGGTGAACAAACATGTGGACAAGGGGGATCCAATAGATATTGTTTACCTTGACTTCCAGAAAGCTTTTGATAAAGTTCCTCATCAAAGGCTCCTAAGTAAGCTCAAAAATCATGGGATAAAAGGACAAGTCCTTTTATGGATCAAAAACTGGCTAATAAATAGAAAACAGAGAGTGAGTATAAATGGGCAATTTTCTCAGTGGAGGGACGTAAGCAGTGGGGAACCACAAGGATCAGTACTTGGTCCACTGCTTTTTAACTTGTTCATTAATGATTTGGAGTTGGGAGTAAGCAGTGAAGTGGCTAAATTTGCAGATGATACGAAGTTGTTCAGGGTGGTGAAAACCAGTGAGGATTGTGAGGCACTCCAAAGGGATCTGTCAAGGATGGGCGAGTGGGCGTCAACATGGCAAATGGGGTTCAATGTGGCCAAGTGCAAGGTGATGCACATTGGAGCCAGAAATCCTAAATATAAATACACGTTGATGGGGTCTGAACTGGCAGAGACTGATCAAGAGAGAGATCTTGGAGTCGTAGTAGATAACTCACTGAAAATGTCGAGACAGTGTGTGACTGCAATAAAGAAGGCCAATACTATGCTGGGGATTATTAGGAAGGGTATTGAAAACAGATCAGCCAATATCATAATGCCGCTATATAAATCAATGGTGCGACCTCATCTGGAATACTGTGTGCAATTCTGGTCACCACACCTTAAAAAGGATATTATAGCTTTGGAAAAAGTGCAGAAAAGGGCAACTCGAATGATAAAAGGGTTGGAACACTTTCCCTATGAGGAAAGGTTAAAGCGCTTAGGGCTCTTTAGCTTGGAGAAACGACGACTGAGGGGTGACATGATTGAGGTTTATAAGATTATGCATGGGAAAGAGCAGGTAGAGAAAGAGGTACTTTTCTCCCTTTCTCACAATACAAGAACTCGTGGGCACTCCATGAAATTGCTGAGCGGTCGGGTTAGAACGGATAAAAGGAAGTACTTCTTCACCCAAAGAGTGATTAACACATGGAATTCACTGCCACAGGAAGTGGTGGGTGCTACAAGCATGGACGGCTTCAAAAGGGAATTAGATAAGCATATGGAGCAGAGGTCCATCAGTGGCTATTAGCCACAAGGTATAGCTAGGGGCTCTGGGGCAAGTGATGCTCTGTCTTCTTGGTGCTTGGGGGGGGTCAACAGTGGGAGGGCTTCTAATGTCCTGGCCCCACTGCTGGACCTCCTGATGGCACTGGTATTTCTGGCCACTGTGTGATACAGAGTGTTGGACGGGATGGGCTTTTGGCCTGATCCAACATTGGCATCTCTTATGTTCTTATGTAAGGGCAAAGTGAGACTTTAAATATAGTGATCACCAGTGTTCCCTCAGCTTAGATTTAAGTTAGTGTGAGCTAGCTCACAGGTTTTTAGCCTCTGGCTCACACATTTTTGTCTTGGCTCAGGAAGGATGGATCCAGAGCAAACTAATTTATGCAGTAGCCAGATTGCTCGCTCACAACTTTAATGACAGTAGCTCACAAAGTAGAATTTTTGCTCACAGGACTCCATAGCTTAGAGGGAGCAACACATGCCAAGAAACCACACTATCTGCTGTTCTTTGGCTCATGACTGTTGCATGTCTCCAAGTGCCTGGGGGACACTCACATATCTCCCCTTCACACTTAAAGTGTATGCTGCATCAGACACAGGTCAAAACCCAATGTTACTTGCAGTGCTGCTGGGAGTGGTAATCCACTCTTGGTTTTGTCTTTCAGGTGTTAGGTTAGCCTTGACCGGAGGGGGCTCAAAGGCTCATGGGAAATGAGATTGCCACTGAATAGCCAGTAGAGGGACCAATACTGGAAGAGACAGTAGCTATTAGGAGGAGGACAATCAAAACCAGCTGTAGGTGACCAAGTATCAGTAGATTCTCCCTCAGAACTCCAGAAAATGACCTCAATTTATTATTTATTTTATTTATTTTTATTGTTAACATTTTTACCCTGCCCTCCCCGCGAGTGGGCTCTGAAGCACAGAAGAGCTGTCCTTACCTTTGTTGGTCCACTTGAGGAGCAAGATTATAATTTATGACCTTTTACAAATAAAATGAGAGAGCCAAGCAAGCCTCAAAAGGCAAGATGCCCCCCCTGTTAGTGCTATTTCCTCCCCCATGTACAATCTATTGTGGCTGGATGGCGCACTGCATCCTTTCTGTCCTGGATCCATTTGTGTGGAGAACGACATCCTAGAGGTGACGTGCAGCTTCAGCAAGGCTTAGAAAGGTATCCAAACTAACATGACTTCTTTTCAACAACCTCCTCCCAGGAAGCTTGCAGACTGTGCCCAGCTTTTGGATGTGGAGGATATGGTGCGCCTGAGCGTCCCTGATGCAAAATGCATCTACACCTATATCCAGGAGCTGTATCGCAGCCTAGTACAGAAAGGCTTGGTGAAGACGAAGAAGCAGTGAAACGAGGTGGCCAGCCTGTATCTGAGGCCAGTTGGTAACTACAGAGGAAAGTTTGGGGCGGGTAAGGGGGCTCTATGAATCTCATCCCCAAGGGGGAAGTGTCAAATAAACATTTTAAGGACACCATCCTGTGGAGGATATGAATTGGATGGCGGTAGAGCATCTACGCAGTGGCAAATTGCCTCCATGAAGAATTCTAGTCTCTATGGAGCTGTGGTGAAAATAAAAAGTTTAAGAAGAATGCCCGATACAGAGCAGTGGTTTCACCGAGGGCTTGTGATTGAGACACAAGGTCCAGGAGCCTTATCAGACCTTTAGGGATCCCCTGCAATGGCCCCTCTGCCCCCAAAAGCGTTGTTGAACCCCCTTCACAGCCTGGGAATGATGCCCTTAAGTGGGTAAACGGCCTGATCAATGCCAGGGCAACAGGAGTCTGGGCGGGGTGTGATGGAAGGAATGAAAACAGCACAGTGAAGGGTTAAACACTCCCACCACTACCAAACAACTGTTTCCAACATCTGGAAAAATGCAGAGTTTCCGATTACGGATCTCACCACTGGAAGTGTGCTTGGGAGCATCTTGTTCCACTTCTGTCCATACTGTAAGGGGGGAAAAAGAGTTCACTTGCAGGATATTTTTTCGTATGTTTCAGGCTGAAAAACAGGATTTGCTCTGTTTGTTTCTCAGGGAGAAGACAGCATACGGGATATGTCCTGGCCACAGCGCTCTCTCCATTCTGTGACTTCCTCTGCACACAGCATTGGATTGAACAGTAGTAGCTGCCCCCCGCTAATGCTAAGGGCTACAACACACACATTTTACCAATACGCCTGTGAGATATTTAGGGAAGAGATTACTGATATCACCTTTGGGCGGGGCGGAAGCAATCATCTTCAGCAATCTGACCTCCATGAAACCAAAACTGACGGCATCTGTTCCCAGCAGATACAGCTTAGAAGGAGCAGATTCTCTTCTTCTCCAGCAGCCCCACCCCCCTCCAAGCAGGGATGCTGCTTCTGACTGAGTACTTGTCTCTATTAAAGCTTCTGCTTTCCTTGTTGTGAACCAAAGCAACTGCGCTGATTTTGTGACAGCAGACAGCTCAATGCTTACAGCTCCCTTTCTCTCCTCAGTAGTGAGAATACCGGGAAGACAATTGGAATAACTATCCTTGGGGATATTCCTCAGAAACAAAACATAGGTCCCGTTCACACGGAGAAGTTGCCATGCTAAAGAGACAGATGATAGGTGGATTGTTGGTGCACAATCACACCACAACATCTGGGAAGCGTCGTGCACCCATGGCTAACCCGTAGCTTGTCGCCGAAGATGTGCAGTAAAAAACCACCACATACAAGATACTAGTTTCCGGAAAACGCGGGGCAAGGGCGGGCGTCTGAACGCGTTTCCGCTTAAATCCCGTGGCATCTGGCGCCTGTCCATGTCCCGTCGCAAACAGGATTGTTTTGTTTTTTTAAGTCTCCACAGGATGCGCACAAACGATCATGCGCATGCACAACTTTCGATGAGAAATATTTTTCCCCATTTTCCATGGAAGTGGCGCCTAGCAATTGCCAGTGTGATCGCGCCACACCGCTTCTTTGCCGTGCTGCAGGAGAGCCGTGTGATCGGCACCTAACAGTCCAACCATGGAACCTCGACGGGACATGTGATTGGGCTGCCGCGCGTTACTTTGCTCCGGGGCAAACAGCCACACTCCCCCCCCTGCATTTTTCGGCCCATGTGACCGGGGCCATAATTGTTTAAAACTACAGGGAAATATGTAACCTAGCATATGCATGCTGAGTCAGGAAGTAAGCCCCACTGTATTCAGTGCCCTTGGCTCCCAAAGGCTACACACCTAGGCACAATTACTATAGTACACCCCAGTAAATTATGAACAAAGATTTCTGGGATTGGGCTGTGAGAATATGCTGGAAAGAAATTTAGCTATAAGATCCATTCGGCATTGAAACAAACTGCCTACAAGGACTGTGGAATTCTTCCCCCCACCAAAAAAAGGCTGAACAACCATCTGCTAATTACACATCAGGAAAGGGATAATAACCATAGCCTGTCTCAGTACAAAGGCTTGGAGGTGTTGATCTAGTCCATCTCCAGCAACTACAGAATTCTATAGAAGAACTTCTAGAAAGCCACAAATTGTATAGTATCAAACAAGTTTTAGAGGAGGACTAATATATACACAGAGGAGGGAAATACTTTCCCCAGTATTTCTCTCTCTCTCTGTGTATGTATGTGCATACACACAGTAGATTCTATCCTACAAGAGTTTTAAAAAGGTAAAGGTTCCCTTGCTCGAAAGCCAGTTGTGTCCGACTCTAGGGTTGCAGTGCTCATCTCTGTTTCAAAGCCGAAGAGCCAGCGCTGTCCGAAGACGTTTCCGTGGTCATGTGGCCGGTATGACTAAACACCAAGGTGCACGGAACGTTGTTACCTTCCCACCAAAGTGGTCCCTATTTATCTACTTTCCATTTCTTGCTTTCGAACTGCTAGGTTGGCAGGAGCTGGAACTAGAGACGGGAGCTCACTCCGTCATGCGGTACACTCGGGTATTGAACTGCTGAACTACCGACCTTCCACAGCCTGCAGCTCAGCGTCTTAACCACTTGAGCCACTACAATAAATTTAGAAGTCTTTAGACTCCTTTCAAGCTATAATGGGAATCCCAGAAAAGCTGGGGTTTCCATTATAATTAAAAGCTCCTGAAGAGCATGTTCTGCTGCTGAATCTCTAAGCACTGAGCCTTTCAGCCTGTACAGGACTCATCTCCCTAGCAATCTTTCATCTGAAGCTCCTCATTCCCTCCTGCCTGGGGTTGCTGCGAGTCAGGAGGGCTGTGTTCCTCAGTGGCCTCCACTGTGACTGGGTGGCCATGCTCCTCGCAGATGTTGTGCAGCACAGCACATGTGCACAGTATTGCATTTAGGTTGTGCTCCATGACTGGACGCTTGGCCCCCAGACACCTCCAGGGCGCCTCTAGGCAACCAAAGGCCTGCTCCACAACACATCTTGCCCTGCTGTGTACCCCATTAAATGCCACCTGCTGTGGGGTTAACACTCCTGTATAGGGCGTCATGAGCCAGCGGCGCATGGGGCAAGCGGCATCTGCTCTAATTAGAGGAGGGATCTGTACCCCCTCAATAGTTAGTGTGGGATTCCCTGGCACGAATAGGCCTTGGTCCGTGGCGCCTATTATTCTCGAGTGCCTTCGCATAGATGTGTGTCATGGCTCTTGCCAGCTTCTCCCACTGTCACATCTATGAGGCGCCCTTGGTGGTCCAGAGTCCCTTGCAGGAGGACAGAGTAAACGTTCTTTCTGTTGTAGAATTCTGCAGCTTGCCCTGGTGGTGCCCGGATTTGGATATGGCAGCCATCCATGGCTCCCACACAGTGTGGACTCCCCCCCCCCCAGCTCCTCGAATCCAAGCATTATCTGGCAAAAGTGAAGGATAACATCAGTGTTCAGGCCCACAGTACCTTGCTCTACCTAGATTTATCAGTAACAGTCAGACATAATATCTACAGTAATTTACAGTTGCTGCATAAGTACTGGTGTGTAGGAATGCATGCTCTAACCCTAACAAGACATGGCCCTGCCAGGACATTCATCATTTGCAGTTTCAGGCCCAGTCCGTCCTTTAAGGTGGACAACAATGCCCACAGTCTTATTTGGAATTAGCTGATGATAGTTACAAAGTGAAATGCTTGCTAGCAGCTCGACTACATTGTGCCACAGTTGTAACTTATGGCATTGTTCGATACGCATATAAAACAACCAATGCTCCCTCTAAGTTGTGGAGTCTTGTGAGCAAAAAAATCTACCTTGTGTGAGCTACTGGCATTAAGGTTGTGAGCGAGCAATTTGGTTACTGCATAAATTATTTTGCTCTGGAGCCCCATCCTTCCTGAGCTAAGACAAAGTTTTGTGAGCCTGAGGCTAAAAACCTGCAAGCTAGCTCACACTACCTCAGCTTAGAGGGAACACTGAACACAACCATGCCTGCATCACTGACACCCCCTGAAGTCCTGTTATAAATGTTGACCATTATCACTTCCAGCTCTCTTTTATAGTAATTGCCATCTGGACATTACCACGGTAGTGGTCATCCACAGATGTCACTGACTGGTCACCATTACATTCCCTGTGCCTGAAAGGACATATGATAGAAAACACCTCATTTCTGTCGTGCATTTGCTTTACATGGGAGATGCTTACCCGTCCAGGTGACCGCAGACATACAGGGCAACTCAACAACTGTGCCTTGATAGCTAGGCAGACCTCCACCACTATTCCGGCCACAGTTGATCTTGCTATGCCAAATAGGGTGCCAACCACACAATAGCATGTGGATAACACGCTCCTCTACAGGTATGGGGTCCCTCATGGCTGTTCCCTCATGCTGAAGATGTGGCTTCAGAGAGACCACCAGCCACAGGAAGGTGGCCCTGGTCATCCTGAAACTTTGTAACCCCTCTGCTCATTCTCCCCTATGTCCCAGGCATAGACTGTCCACAGTTCAGCTGGTCGAGGATAGACCCACCAACGACGTGGGGCTCCTTGCTCTGCCAGTGTGTGGAGATGGGCCATGTCAAGGGACTCTGGAAGCACAAAGTCCCCTACGCATGAGGTGACGTCTGAGGTATATCAGCCTCCTCACTCTCATGGCTGTCAACCTTTGGTGCAGATGACAGGCCACTGTGAGGAAAGTCTGAGCTGTCAGAAGCGTCAACAGACACTGCTCCTGAGGATTCATGTTGCTCCCTCAGTGCAAATGTCAGATATGAGCGGGAAATGATTTTTATGGGGGGGGTGGACAGCTCAGGCAGATTGATACAGTTGGGCGAAGGAAAAGGGGAGGGGGAGGATCTCAGGCACTTCTGCCTGACAGAGGTGCTGGCGTGCCCACAGCCAGCCTGGGTGAATTATAGAATCATAAACTCATAGAGTGGGAAGGAACCTCCAGGGTCATCTAGTCCAACCCCCTGCACAATGCAGGAAATTCACCAATACCCCCACACACACACCCCAGTGACCTCTGTTCCACGCCCAGAATATGATTTTAAAAAACCCCTGCAGGATTTGGGGGGGGGGGCAAACTGGCCTGGAGAAAAATTGCTTCCTGGCCCCAAAGTGGCGATCAGCATTTCCCTGGGCATGTAAGAAAGGGCCACAAGAACTAAGCATTGATGCAACCCTTCCTGCTCTACCTCTCGTGATTCACACAATCAGCATTATGATCCTTTTACAGTTGAAAGCATGATATAAATGCAAAGGACTATTTGTAAGATTATCTGTAAGACACAAGACCAGGATGCATCTCACTTCTGGCAATCACTTGGAGAGACCCTATCACTCAGCTTCCATTGCCCCCCACACACCCCACACTGGAATAAGAACATAATATCAGGCCATACCACATTGCAATAAAGCCCCTACAACTGTATACAGAAATACTGAGCTTCCCTACCATTTACCACAACTAGCCCACCACACAACCAGGATCAAGACTCCTAAGTGGACCAACAGAGAGGCATACACTCATTTGAGAAACTATTACATTACAACACCTCTGGAACATTACAGATCAGTAGATGCAGCACTGCACAGTGGTCAGAGTTGCAGATTGATGTGGGGAGACCCAGGTTTGTATTCTCACTCTGCTGGCTGAGTGACCCCGGGCCAAATCTCCCCTTCTCTACCTAACCTACCCCACAGGGTGGTTGTGAAGATGAAATGGAGACTCATGGGCAGGGTCCCCAGCTTCCCTGGCAGGAACACTATGTTAAGAAATCTCTCACAATTATGCAGCCATAGCAGGCAGGAGGGAAGGAAGCAAATACCTCCAGTGCCAGAGACTTGTAGAGGAAGAGTCAAACTTTGGGGACTCACCCGTGCACCAGAGAGCCAAGGCAGCAGGAGGCAAGAAGCCTGGGCGAGCTGGGCTCCTCCATGCCTGGCAGAAGATGAGGTGCAGAGGCGAGAGGTGGGCAAGCAGAAGAGGCACTCAGCCAGCCCCACAAGCTGTGTGCAAAGAAACTCCCACCG